TCGGATCGGGTTGACGCGGGCTGGGGCCTCGCCTTCAAGCTCGTTGTTGGTGATCGAGAAAAGCTTGTACTCGTGGACGCTCATGTCGGGCGAGACAAAGACGCAGAGCACGTAGCGCAGACCAGGAAAGACGCAGTATTGCAGCACCTTGGTGTCCATGCTTCGCCAGCCTTGGGAGACTCCGACCTCAACCTTGAACGTATGGAATTCGTTCCAGTGGACGCGGGGAGGTTTGATGGCGCCAATGTCGCGAGCTGGACCGTAGCAGCAGTCCGGCGAGAGCTTGGGCAGCTTGCTTGCCGCTGATTCAAGGGTCGTGTCGACGTACGCGTCGCGGAAAGCCCGAAAGACGCGATGGTCCGTTCCCGTGGCCTCCGGCCCCGTGGCGTCAAGCATCGCGTCGTCGATACCCATAGCAATGGTGGCGTGAAGACCACCGCTCATCTCGATGAGGTAAATCGAGTCGTCTCTAAACTCAAAGGCGCGCGACTTCATCGCTTGGTCCTCGGACTCGACGTAGCTGTCCCAGTCGGCCTCGGTCGCAGAGCACACCCGGAAGCCGTCGTTATCGATCACGTTGAAGGCGGCCTCCACGGCATCCCAGTTCAGAGCCTCGATCGCTTGGTTGATGCGCTTCACTGGGTCGGCGCGGGGGGCTGGCTCGGCGCTCGTCGTCGTCTTCGTCGAGCACGCTCCAGCGACCATGTTGGCAACTGACCAACCTCGGTCTTCAAATCCGGATAACAAACGATCTTTCTGTCACTTGCAGCCATCTTATTGGCTGTTGTCATTTGACATCCGGATTCTAGCTGGGAGTGCAGGATCTTTACGTGCGTGGAAGGCATTCGATTGGTTAAGATTGAGTCAAATGACACGGGGTTTGGATTGGCGGCAATACATTTGGGTGCATCAAGGCAAAAGCTACTTCGGGAGATTGCTCGTTGGGATAATCACCCAAATGAGACGGCTTTTTTCCACTCATCGCAAGCGTCGCCCGATCCGGGCGGAATACCGGTTTGAAGATGCCCTCGGCGTCTACACACTCGCCAAGCGACCGGAAAATGGCATGGCGCTCCTCGACGAGCTCATTGCGTCGGTTGTCGCCGAGACGCGCTTCAAGGACGCATCTTACTACCCCTGGCGCATCCGCGACGGGATGCTTGGCTCGATCAAAGCGTCCTCGCCTGAGAATGTGACAACCGACGACCAAAAGACTCTTGCGTCGGCCATGTCACACGAAGTCGATGGCAAAATCTATTATGCGTACAGCCTCATCTTTGCCTACACGGACGAGCCGTTCACGACGCTGCAGCCCGAGACCCTCTTCCACGCGTCGCGCTCTCTCCTCAACGTCTTGGGGAAGGAGAAGCCGCCGCCGGGCATCTCCATCGCACGCATTGCGTTCACTTTGGCGCAGCACGCGCAACAACTCGAAGCGTTCAAACTGGCGCACATGATGTACGAGCGGCTCCAGACGATGCGCGTCCGGCCCGAGTGGCAGCGAATGATCAACCTCACGAACATGGTCATTCAAGCCAAGCCGTATTCGGACTGGGACGACTTACTACCGATTGAGTATCGGTCGTCGACGACCAACCCACTGCTGCACCCGACGAGCGTCGGCGACGTCTGCGTCAACTCGGCCCACCCGTTCGTGCGGTCGTTTCTGTCGTTTGACAACGTGCCGCTGGTTGAGTTTGCGCCGACGCCCGACTTGAGCGACGACGAGGCGATGGCACTGATCGAAACGTTGCCGTCGATGCAGCATGGTAAGCATGGCAACAACAACGACAAGTGGAAGACCTCCTAACGGCGGCGCCCAGAGCTTGCAGCTACGAGTATTTGACAAGAGTCTTTTCGGTTTGGAATTTGAGACTTGTACTGATGCGCGCGGTTGAAGTGCGGGCCGCAGCCTCGTTGTAGCTTGCTGGTCATGTTTTGGAGCAGGCCGAATGCTCTCGATTTCCATCCCGGTGGGCTACCCGCGGTGTATTGAATGAGGACGATACGATTGGCCAATCCAATGTAGAGTTGCCTGTATTTTCATCCAATGAAATGGCCGAGAAAGCGAGCCAATCCGCGAGTGCGGATCATGGCCGACGAAGCGCCGCTGGAGCAGCGGTTCGCGGCCGCGAGCACCGAGTTCGCGCGGACGACCATACGAACGAAGGAGGACGCGCAGAAGTTGCATGGACGCGTCAATGACTGGCGAGAGGACGTCAACACGCTTGCAGGCCAGATTGCCGCCCAGCTCAATGTGTGCAAGTCGCTGCGGACGAGCAAGGCCATGCACTCAATCGCGGCAACGCCGACGCCGCTCGACGTAGTTCGCTTCGTACTCGCCTTGATGCAGCTGCGCTAGTGTTCACATGCAGATGCTGGCGTAGGGCGACGTCGACCCGTTCCACTTGATGCGGTCCGACATCCGCAGCCTGTATGATTTTCGGCTCTCGACCTTGCGCTCGCAGATTGTCGACGCCAGCAACACCACGAGCATCGACTTGGAGCTCGACAAGGACGCGGTACGGCGTAGCTTCAGGGATCCATTGGTCACACAAGTCCGTCCAGGCGCAGCTCAAGCTCATCTTGGACGAGCCATCAACGGTCGAGAAGGCCGGAGATGCAGACACGGCGTTTCAGTCGATGCTCAAGGTGATTGATCGCTTGACAGATCCGCAGATGAACGATCGTCTGTCTCTAGTTTACGCTAGCGAAAAGCGACTTGTGTTGCAAAATTGCCGACGATTTACTCCGGACGAAGCGCGCGACGGACCTCGAACGCGGGTGCGCCTACCTCGTTCGTTAAATATATGCAGGAGTACCACGCAGCTCGCCTAGTATCGAGGACGAAGGGCTCACGATTGATGCACGCGCGTCCGTACTTCTCTCGCGCGAGACCAAGTTATTCATATCCTTTTTATGCTGCGGATTTGCACATATGAGAGAAGATCCCGTGCGCGGTGGCCTTCACAAGTGCTAGCGTACATGAAGGTCGTCGAGCTCTGCAGTAGCCTCTTGCGCAGTCGCCCGAAACATGGCTCGCGGAAGACCGAGGCTCCGCGGTCGCCGACAGCCCCTAGTGCCGTGCACCAGCTCTTTGCTGCGACATCGGCCTCACCGCCCGACAATGAGGTACGACCTTAGCTTGGTTCGTAGCCCTTCCATGGTTTGGTGTAGGCGAGCAAAGTCACAAGCACCCGTCTCGACGAAGCCAACTTTACAATCCAAAAGGTTTCAACCGATCCGGTTGCCGGACGATGGAACTAATGGAGCGGTAGCTGCATCGGGAGATCAGTGAGCTCAAGATAGCCAACGCCAAGCTCGCGGCGGCCAACTCGCAGCTCGACGACAGCTACGCGCACGTTTTGAGTCGATTTGAGGCCGAGAAGGATGCACACCAAGCCAGCATCGGCTTGCACGAGCCGCGCATCCGCAAGGTCCGTCAGCTCTTTGATGTCGATTCCATGTCTATCGACATCCATAGCTCGAAGAGGAGATCCAGGCGTCGGCCAAAGCACTCTCCGAGCTCCGGCTCAACGTCGACCTCATCACAAGCATGTACAAGGTACACATTTCGAAAAAGCAGACCAACCCTCAGCGAATTGCACAGAAAACGTGTGACGAAGTCGTCGAGTTTGACCGGAATCGCATCCTCATCCAGGCGGTAGACGACGCAAAAGGAAAGCCCGCATCTCAGATTTGCTATAGGAGCGCGACGCGATGGCCAAGAAGCTCCACGACGAAATTAAGAAGCTGGCCGTCGTCAACCTCGAGATCGTGCGCAAGGACAAGCTAACCATGTATGCCATGGGTGCGCGGCACGAAGCCCTCCAAGCCCTGAAAGAAACCCAGCGCCAGCTCCACGAGGTTCCGGGCGTCTCGCTACACAAGCATGATTTGGTGCGACGTAGATGACCATGGTTCGCGACGGCTGCAACCAAACAATCGCGCACCTCGGCGAGACCGTAGACAAGCTCAACGCCTCGCTCCGCGAGACCACCTCGGTACGCCAACACTCTTTTCTTGTGTACTTGAACGCTCTGGTGAAGGTGGCGAAGGGACAGACCGACGCCCTGGCCGCGCAAGAGCAGATGCTGCTCGAGCTGCGTGCCACAATCGACGAGCAGGCGACCGCACATGCGGCAACTCTGCAACAAGCCGCTGCACGCCACGACGAAGGTAATGGGTTTGGTAGAATTGTTGTCAGATAGCAACTGCTCTGGCTAGAGTACACCAAGCTGCAAGCCAAGTTGGACAAGACCAACAAAGAGCTCGTCGAGTCCGTCCAAGACAACATCATATCCTTTTCCCGCAACGTTCTTTCATGGTTTAATCAAAACGTCGTAGTTCTTTAACCGAAAGGCATAGCACGCGCTCGATGGCAAACTGCGCCAAGCTCAAGAGCGCATCAGCCGCTTCCTCTCTGCGTAGGTGTCCTATCGCAGTGGTTTAACGTATCAACTGTACAAAAACGTATTCAAAGCAACATGTGGAAGCAGCATAGAGGTTCATGTTTTGAGAGCACTAGTAGGCTCTGCGACCTATTAAAGGCTTGGGGTACCGGCCACTTCCAAACGAGAACATATATCTCGGCTTGTTGGCCGAGATTTTGCGAGCGCCTTGTCGCCACCGTCTACGTTTCGGACGCCAGTGAGACAATACGACATACCAGGAAGATCGTCAAGAGATCAATGGCAATGCATTCTGCCGGCATTACCCAACCAAATCGTAGATTGACTCCGTGCAGTCCCATGGAACGATTTCGCGTTGCCACGCAATAAGCTTGATTAATGTATAGGTAGCGTTTGCCATGTTCAAACCCCGTTGCAGTCAACGGTGTAAACTGACTTGAAATATACGCGATCAGGTGACGACCCAACCGCGACCTAATGCAGCACCAATGACCTTTCCGGTCTCGACAACACCAGCAGCAAAGCAGCAAAAGCCCCGGAGATATCTTACACAGCGCCTCGTGCGTCTTGGTGGACATGGTATGCCCATCCCCAACGTCATCATCCAGATTGCGTACAAGAACAAAAACCTCTACGGTCGGCGCGAGAAGCTCGACCTGTGGATGCACCCTGACACGTCTGTGCAAGTCGCCATTGGCGTCATGATCTTCCACCGAGGGAAGCACCGCGTGGCCATTTTGCATCAGCGCGGTCACGGGACGACCGAGCTCGAGTTTGGTCAACGCCGCGCCGAGACCCACGGTCTTGTGACCGAGAAGGAGGTTAGGAGTCTCTGCATTCAGAGCTTCCTTTGTATATGCTTGACACGGGCGTACCACTTCCTCCTGCATTGACTGACCAAAGTCACGCGATGATCCAGAAGAGCTGTGGACCACGGCCATCGCATGTGGGCGGATACAAAGACTCAGATCCGCCTTCAGTATCCATTCCAGATCGACTCATCGCCAGCCCACAAAATGTATATTTTTGCTTGATACGTTGATAAGATTGCGCTCGGTCTGCGTGAAACGACGTTGCTGGAGTAATGGCCGACGACAAGGACGACGAACTCCATCGACGCGTGGCGCAGCGCGTCGACCGCATCAAGGTCGCGGTCGACGAGCTCACAAACGGTACGCATTCGAGAGGAGACGAGCGCCGCCACGTATGCTGTAGCGGTGCGGGTACTTTCAAGCGCCGACCACCCGCAGCGCCCTCCACGCTCGATTGTGCCCGACCCCATCGATGAGCGCGGAGGCGCGTACAGGTAGCAGCATCTGTGCACCAATAAGATCGCGTGGATTTTGCGCATAGTCGCATCCTTGCCAACAACGACCGAGGCGTCATCAAAGAGATCGAGGTGCGTCATGCTGCAACTCGAAGCATGCTCCTTCGCGGTGTAGAGCCTTAGCTCGATGGCGATCCTCATCGTGGGACTCAACGGCATGGGGTGTGCGATCGCCGAGACCTTTTGTCGCAGGTGCGTCCACATCCGAGGCATCGATATCTTGTCGGATATTTCCGCTTCCTAGCGGCATTGGCAAAATCTACTTGGTTGATGACGACCCGCGCCACGTGCAGCAGGACGATTTGAGCCAGCTCTTTTATCTGCCGCAGAACGTGGGCTACGAGCGCATTGCTGAAGTCGAGACCAATTTACGCTTGATTAACGAGAACGTCGACATTGAGGGTCTCCGCCTCGATGCCAAGGACGCGGGCGAGTGGCACGTCTGGGGCAGTACCCAATTGCGCCCGTCCACCCTCGCACTGCGTATGGTCTTTCTGACCGTGACCGATACAGCTATCACGCGCAACGTGAACGAGATCTGCC